TCTGGATGTGAAATGTAGAAGTCAGTTTGAAATAATCTTAGGATTGCTTTTAATTTTTCTTTCAAAGCCAGTATTTGTAAATCAAACATGAAGACAGTCTTAGCCTGAAGGTCAGAAACTGTGTCATATTTGTTGCCATTCATAAATGGAGTGCATTCAGACCCAAAATTACAAAAAACAGGGGTCAATAACCATGACTGTATCCTTTCTAGGGCAAATGTCAATATCTAGACCAGGGATTAGAAATATGTACTCTGGCCTATTAAAGTGTGCCCAGACTACAATTGACATACAGTACTTATATATTTGCGTGTTTGAATCCTTGTCAAGGTGGGAAAAATTCTGATGCCACAGCCAGTTCTTCTGAGAGTTGACCCAGTGTCTGCTTTCAGCACTTATAATAATGTAATGGGACAATGTTAAATATGCGTTTGAAGTGATGTTAGTCTTAAACCTACTGACGAGTTTTTAAGACCACAAATTTCATTGGGCAAGGGGTGGAATTAATTGATCTAGCTTTTTCTAAAAATATCTGACAAAAACTCATCTTTGCTGTATGGGATTTACATGGTGTTTTAAATTTTGATAGCCAATGACCAACAATAAAATATAATACAGAACAGGATTTTAATCCACCTTAAAATACCTTAATCTCTAGATTAACACCTGGTGTACATAAAAAATAATAACATCATCATATTGAGAAATAGGCCTATAATCATAATCAATAACGTTTATTTACTGATTATCTAGATATATCAGAAATATTTTGATAAGAACAGATTTGAATTTACTCATCAATGGCCGAGATGGTAGACAGAATGACCTCTACAGAATGGCCTCTACAATGGCTAAAAGGGTCCATATTTCATCATTTCCAGGGCATTATTACAGGGACGCCATTTTAGGGGTTTATTTTAGTCTTGAATATGTGTAAATAGTGTTCAGAAGTACTAGAAATGTACGAAAATCACTTAATTCCTTTAAAAAAACTCAAACTATGAATTTTACTCACTATTTCTATATATGTCTTTACTATATATCATAGAGTACCTTAAATTGACGAGTCGTCAGGGGTAACTGTGATCACTATTACTGATTGGCAGAGCTAAAAACATTATGCTATATACATAAAAC